AATCACACACACACTCACACACTCACATGCACTCACACTCACACACTCATACACACAATCACACACATTCACACACTCACACTCACATGCACTCATACTCACGCATTCACACACTCGTGCACACACTCACACCACACACTCACGCACACACACCCACACACGCATACTCATACACACTCACACTCACACAGTCATGCACACATTCACACATGCACTCTCACACATGCACTCATGCACACTTACACACTCACACACTCATGCACACACACCCACACACACTCACACATACACTCACTCTCACACACGCTCACATTCATACATGCACACACACTCATACTCACACACTTACACACACTCACACTCATGTACACACTCACTCGTTCTCACACACACAATCATGCATGCACACATTCACACACACATTCATACTCACATGCACTTACACGCAGTCACATTCATGCACACACTCACACTCATGCATGCACACACACATTCACAATCATACACACACTTACACTCACACGCACTCACATTCACACATACTCACGCACTCACACTCTCAGACGCACTCACATGCACTCACACACTCATACACAGGCACACTCACACACCACATTACTCACATTCACACACACACACTCAGACTCATACACATGCACACTCACACATTACTCACACTCACACACACACACTCTCAGACTTGCACACATCTCACACACTCATACACACACTCACACAGAGACACACACACACCTCTCTTTAGCACTTCCCCTCAGATATCTGCACACAGTCAGCTCACTGACGGTGGAGGAGGGCGCCTTTATACTTGGTAAATAAAGGGAACGCTCTGTGGCCTCCTCAAGCGAACTTTTAATTAATTTATTTTTATTTTATTCTTGGTACCTGAAACTGAACCCAGGGACGCTCCACCCCTGAGCCCCGTCCCCAGCCCTTTTTCTATTCTGTTTAGAGACAGGGTCTCCCTGAGCTGCTTAGGGTCTTGCTAAATGGCTGAGGTCAGCCTCCACCTTGCGATCCTCCTGCCTCAGCCTCCCAAGCCGCTGGAATGACAGGCGTGAGCTCCTGCACCCGGCAGCTAGTGTATGTTTATGAGTTTCTTTTTTTGGTTTCCTTTGATTCCCTTTGATTCTCCGTGGTGCTGGGGATGGAGCCCATGCTGAGCAGGTGCCCTGCCACTGAGCTACACCCCCAGCAGCAAATCTATTTTAAAACCTGCCATGTGGGGCAGACAGGCGGATTCTTCCGGGAAGGGGGATATTTTGGGCCAAAACGGCTGCTGGGCGGGGCTTTCATGGCCGAGTTCTGGGATTCAGCCTCTGAGGCTCTGCCCTGGGTAGGACCCGCAGGCCCTCCCTCCCGTCTCTCCCGTCACCCCGGCCCGTCTGCATGCATGGCAGACCAGGGGTTTCCAGTGAGTCACCGTGAGCAGCTGGAAGGCCCCGCGGACGTGGGCACATCACCCCGGTTTCCCCTGGGCTATATTTAGAGCCTCACAGGAAACCCCAAAACTGTTGGCCTTCACACCCCTGCAGAGGTGGACCGCCCTCCTCCACTTGGGCCTCCCCGCCTCTCTCCCCCACCAGGTCCTGCCTGGGATCCCCTCTTCAGACACGGCCCCCCCAGAGGACCCTGGTGGCCCTCTCCATATAAGAGAGTCCCAGGGAGCACGGTGATAGATGCCTGTCATCTAGAGGCTCCGGAGGCTGAGGCAGGAGGATCGCCAGGTGGAGGCCAGCCTCCGCCACTCAGCGAGGCCCTGTCTCTAAATAAAATATAAACAAGGGCTGGGGATGGGGCTTATCAAGCGCCGCTGCGTGCACCCCAGTTCCCCTGAGCATACTGAGAAACCGCCTGACCCCCCACAAACCCGGTGCTTTAAGACGATACACTTGAGCCACGAGGTCCTGCCATTAGACTCAGCCTCCGATTTACAGACATCAGTGTTGTTACAAATCGTGTTCATTGAACCCAGGGGCGCTTCACCCCCGGAGCCCCGTCCCCAGCCCTTTTTATGTTTTATTTACAGACAGGGTGTCTGCTCAGTGGCTGAAGCTGGCCTCTACTTTGCGATCCTCCTGCCTCAGCCTCCCGAGTTCCTGGGATCATTTGTTTAATGTCTCTCTTGGGGCAAGTTCTCAGGGTGCTGGTCACACCTATTTCTGGGCTCACACGACGACGCATCCTCAACTTGGAAACGGTCACATCATGCAGAAAGAACACGGACGGACGGCGGTGGGACTGACGAGGCCCGGCCAGCCTCCCCTGCCCCACCCGATCACTCACCGTGGTCATGCGCAAACACCAGTATGTCCAGCCCCATCAGCATCTGAGCTAGCTCGTCATAGCGGCCACAGTGTTCCCCGGCGCCATGGGACACAAACACAAGGGCCCTAAGGAGGGAAGAAGGAACTCTGTTAGCAAAGTCCGAGAGACCCCCACCCCCACCCCCGTGGCTCCTAGAGTCACAATGAATCAGGACCAAACCCTGGGGGGCTGGGGGGCTGGGGGCTCTGTGGCAGAGCGCTGGGCCTGGCACATGGGGGGGAAAAAAGCTGGACTTTGAGCCCAGCATGTTGGTGCCCACCTGTCATCCCAGTGGGGAGGCTGAGGCAGGAGGATCGCAAGAGGGAGGCCAGCCTCGGCAACTTAGGGAGGCCCTATGCGACTCAGTGAGACCCTGTCTCTAAATAAAATCTATTGAAATGGGGGTGGGGGGGTGCTGGGGATGTGGTTCATGTGGATGTCACTTGTGCTGATTCATAGCTCCGTGCCAGGTAGAGGGCGGGCACGTGGCAGGCTCCCATGGGGCTGGTTCCCCCCCCCTCCCCTGGGGGGGCCAATTTTGTTCTTAAATCTCCAATTTTCAAGACTCGGATTCTTAGCAGAAAATCCTTGGGGACCTCGAGTTCCCTTTAGGCAGAGAGAATCCAAGATGCTGGCTGCCAGCTGTCAGGGGTGACGTTGGGGGCGGGGAGCCGGAGATGGATAATCACAGCTGCTATTTCAGAGAGCCTCTGACTACCTGTCAGTTCCTTTGTTAATGCCACCTAGCAGGTTTTGAATCCTCCCCGTCGCCGTCGCTGAATGCTTTCTCTTCTTTACAGAGGAGAGCAAAAATTCAGAGACGTCAAGTCCACCCACCCGGGTCACACAGCACATTGGTTAAAAAAACGTATCTCAGAATATCTCCCCACCTGGATATGCTTTCAGGTCTAGGGTGGGCTCAGAACCCAGACCTCGTCTCAGAGAGGCCTCCTCATCTTCAGTTCTGTGAAGGGAGGAGTCTGGAAGTGCCTAGGCAGGAGCCAGGTGCTGGGTGTGTGGAGTTGCATAACCAACTGGCTCAGAATCCTGTGTCCTTTCTACCATACCTTTTGGCCAAGTTGTATGAACTGGTATTTTATCTTGTTTCTAAATCACTTTTAGCATCTGTCTCCCCCCTGTTCTTTCTTTCCCGAAAGTTGCTGAGGCTGGCTGGCCTCCAACTGGAGATCCTCCTGTCTCAGCCTCCTGAGTCGCTGGGAGGACAGGTGTGCGTCACTGCGCCCGGCTGCTTCTCTCGATTTTGCTCTCAATAAATGTTTCATACCCTCTCCACTATTCCATGGATTGTCCCACCATCCATGCTTGATCGGACATCAGGGTGGGCAGATCACACCTGCCCTCTGGATGTTTCTGGGGCCAGCCCTCCACAGGGCTGGAACCTCTAACCAGTCACTATTTCCATATTTAAGGGGCTGAGCTTCAGGAAGGGATGGTTCAAGCACTCCAACATCCTTTTGGGAACGCAGCAGCTGCTGGATTAACTCATGCTACAGTTTAACTGCAGAACGGTCAAAGGATGAGGCCAGATCTTGTCATAAATCTGCTCCTCACCGCAGTCAGGGGCCATGGGGCAGGAGAGAGCTTCAGGGTTGCATTTAGGGCCCCAAGAAATGGCACCAGACACGTCACCAAGCCTGACACTGCCTGCCCACAGAATCCACTCCGCACTCAAGCAGGTGGGGAAACCCTTGGGGGTCTTTCTCTGCAGCCACCCTTTCTACTCCCTGGAACGCAATGGCAGCCAGAAGGCAGCCCCAGGAGAACTTGACAGCCACTCTGGAGCCACTGAGCTCCCTGGGGGACATGCAGTGGGGACCATGGGCTCTACCTATAGAGGCGTGGAGCTTTGGGGAGCTCGCTGACAGACCTGGCTGCCCCACTGCTGGTTGCCCCAAATATGGCTTTGCCTTGTCTCGGCACAAGCGGGCTCTGCGGCAGCACCTGCAGGCTCCGCCTCCTGCTGCCACGCCCAGCTACTCCAGCCCCGCCTCCTGCTGCCACGCCCTGTTATTCCAGCCCCGCCTCTGCCACGCCCAGCTACTCCAGCCCCGCCTCCTGCTGCCACGCCCTGTTATTCCAGCCCCGCCTCCTGCTGCCACGCCCAGTTACTCCAGCCCCGCCTCCTGCTGCCACGCCCTGTTATTCCAGCCCCGCCTCC